TAGAGGGGTAAGTTGAAGCTGGGGAAACAGACAGGGATCAGCCATCCAGGGCCTTGAAGGGCCAAGTAAAGAGTCTGGGTTTGGGTTTTAAGTCGAGGAGGTTGTAGGGGGTGACCTCACTTCCTCAGGCAGCTTCTGCCTACCTCTGTCACCAGCTCTCAGATGTTCCTCACTTCCCCTTTGTCACCATGAACACATCTGCAATTCTTTATTTAATAGTTTGTCTCCCAGAGACACTGAGTGTCTGGAGGGCTGCCTTACTCCCTAATGTATCCCCCACACCCAGAACAGGGCTTAGCATCTTGCAGACTTCCAACAAATGTTAACTGAATGAATAAATACACATCTAGTTAGGTAAACAGCCACAAAAAGACATACCAATGTGAAAACAAAGTATAAGGGGATAAGTGAGGAGCCTCAGAAGAAATGGATAATTATTATGTCTAATAACGAATGTGAACCTGAGTCACAAATGGAACAATAATCTCTACTCTTAGTGACTGAATGAATTAAATAAGATTATACACTAAAAGAGAAACTGAGTCACAGAGGACGAATGATCTGCCAAAGGCATCCCTGAGGAGCCAGAGCACCCAAGGATAGTGCTAATGGGACAGGGGGGCCCAAGAAGCAAAAGAACAACTATGTAGGCCCTGCAGAGGAGGCCACAGTCTGGACAATTGGGTTTACAAGGCCTCTGAGCATCCCTTTCCACAAAGAAAATGGGTGGCTTTCTAGGGGGGAATGGCCTGGGGTGGTCCTGTGCCCCATGAGACTAGGTGGGCCAGTTTAATTCTGGGGCAGGGTTAGGAAGTGGTACCCTCCAAGCCAGTTCTTAGGACGAAAGCCCACCGAGGTTTTGACATCCATTGGTTTGACTCCTAGGACTATTTCAAATGGTTCTGAACTCAGGAGAGGAAGAGAGAGGAGACAAGTATCCGCTTCCCCCAACCCCAACAGACACTTCCTGTTCCCATTACCAACTGAAGGGTTTAATCCTCACTTGCCACCATAGCTTTTCTTCTAGGGGTGAGTTCAGAGGCAGCCCCCAAAGTGCATGATTCTGCTTGTACCAAATGCAAAGGAATGGTCACCTCACCAGGACCCCCACCCCCACTCTGATAATACACACAGACTCACCACCCTGATATACACACAGACTCTACCACCAAACCAAGTGGAGAAAACTAAGAGGAAAAGTAGGAAGTGGGACAGTCAATGATCACACCAGTTAAAGAAATGAGGAAGTGAGGGGTCCACATGCTATTTCAGCTTGTAGATTAAGGAAGAATAAAGGAAACAGCACTCAGAAGTGCAGGCCAGGAACTATATCCAAGCTAAACCAGCTTCCAGATGGGCCTGTGTTCAAATCCTCATCACTAGCATCTCACTTATTCTCTCTGCAGTCACATCAACAGGACCTGGTGAAAAGGAGGATATGGGGGTCTGAGTGGACCTGAAGCTCAGGATGAGCCAAGGGGAGGTGCAGGGGACACGCAAGCTCATGATGCTGGGCTAAATTAACAGACGTATGACCTTCAGATCATGGGAGGTGACATCCCTCAACATAGGACCACATCCAGAACAATGGAGTCAGTTTGGGGGACCATTTATTTTTTTTAAGTTTTAAATAACTGGTTTTTCTATTTATACACGTAAACAGCAATCATAGGGACCATTTTGAAAACACAGAAAAAAATAAATTTCTGTGTTTATAATTCCTCTCATAATTCCTCTACCTGGTACTGAATCACAATGGCTCTCAAAGTGTGACCCCTGGACCAGCAGCATTAGCATCACTGGGGAACTTGTCAGAAATTCTCATGCTCCAGTGGTGACCTACTAATGGGGCCCCCCAAGTGACTCTAATGCAGGGTGTTTCCTTCCAGTCTTTTTTCCTAAAAGGGCAAGAGTCATGTGTCTCAGCACAAGTCCCCAGCCCAGGGCCTGACACAAAGCAGGGTCTCAGTAAGCATCTATTATATAAGCGAATGAATGAATGATCTTTCTCACATGAGCAGCTGTCTCTCCAGGGCCTGCCCTTCACCACGGTCAATTTCTGAAAAATGCAGGATGTTGCATTCATGCCAGCTCCATCTCTCCATGGTGGCTAAGGGGGGGCCAAGGCCCCTTGGGGGCTTGTCCCAGCTGCGGGCAGAATGCGGTCAGCCCCTCCTGGCACAGCCCATGTAAGAGGGCAAGTCTACAAAGGCTAGCTTGTGGCCCGCACAGGCCGAGTCTGCCGGGATGTGGACAGCAGAAGCTGGTGTATGCAGGACTCAGGCAGGGGCTGAGCTTTCAGAGCCCAAGGCGGTGGGGGCAGGGACATGGGGCTGCTGGGACATGGGGAGGGGACCCAAGAGGGCAGGACTCTGCTTTAGTCCAGAGGTTCTTGGACCTCACTGAGCCTCCTGGGACTCTTCAGTCCTGCAGTCTTAAACCCTGTCCCTAGAAAGCTCTCTAGTGACAAATCCGGCTAAGGAAGCTGGCTGAGAATCACCTGGGGGGATGGGGTGGTGTGGGGGTCTGAGCCCAGCCTTCCCAGCTCCTTCAAAAACAGCTTAGTGGCGTTGCTGAGCCCCCCAACTGTGTGAAAGTAGGAAAGGAGGGACCAAACTCCACTAGACTCAGCAGGCCTAGTGGCTACCCAACAAGGTTGTGAGAGTCCCCTGAACACCAGTGGGGTAATCCCCAAACTCACCCTCCACTGCAGACAGGAAAAGGCCACACTGCCCAGTAGTGCCCACCTCAGAGCATGGAGGCCCCCGATTCTCGCCCAGTCAGAAGGCCGGCCCAAAGAAGCTGGGGAAGGGTGCTCAGACCGGGTACAACTGAGCCTGCCAGCCACCCCCCACCCCCCATCCATCCCCTCTGGCCACTCCTTTCAGCTGACCTCTCTTTTAACCAAGACTGAGAATGTGGAGTGGAGGAGGGAGGATGAGAAATAGGGTGCTCACACTGCTGCTGGGGTAGTCAGCCTTTCCCTTTATAGAAAATGTTTATTTTGCTGTGATTATAGATGTAATACCTATTTGGAGAAAATTCGACAAAAACAGATGGCTTTCTATCTTCCCCACTAGTTCCCACTGGTTCTGCATTAGGTCCAAGCCCCTTACCCTGGAACCCAAGCCACCCCAGGTCTTCTCCCGACTCTTGTCTGACCCCTGTCCTCTGACCCCTTGCATCCTCTGACCCTCACCCCCACCCCCACCCCAAATATACCACGATTAAAAGGAGCTACCACCTGTCAGGAGGCTCACTAATTACTAGGCCCCAGTCCAAGCACAGGATGTGCATAATCCTCTTACCAATCCTGTGAAGTAGGTACTGAAAATGTTCCCATTTTGCAGATAAGGAAACTGTGGCTCAGAAGTTTCCCAGAGCTGCTCAAGCAAGGGAGTGGTAGAGCTGGAATCCAAACAAGTCCTGTGACCCTGGGCTCGTGAATCTTAACTCTGTTCTACTCCCATGTTTGCTCGGGCTGTTTCCTCTGCTAGAATGGCCTTTGCTGGGCTAACTTCTAATTAGTTCATACTTCCAGAACATTCTCTCTTCCCCCAATCTGATTCTACTCTCAAACTCTGAACTCCATTG